CACACGCGTCTTTTAAGTCTAAAGGGTAGATAGAGAAAGGCGAATTGCGGATATAATATCGCTATCTCTTATAACTTTTTGTAAAGTATCTGCTACGTCACATGTATTGCATTACATTCTTTCTCTTGGTCGTCACTCGCTGTTTGCCCAATATTTGAATTGAGAACCACGAGCATAGAGGCTGTTAGGGCATAAGTTTCCGAATCAGATGAGATAAATATATTTCAAATATTTTACACACCTTCAAAATATTAAAAAAAATATAATAATAAATTACAACATTTTCCTATACTGGTAAGTACGGAAAAAATCAGCCTTTAAAATTAACAACCGAAATCACATTTTTCGAGAATGCTAAATTATAAGCGAGCGCCCGGACACGGCTCTGATAAATAATCTTAACCGGCAGATGAACCGCCTCCTCGCTTGCCAACTTTTCACATTAAAGAAAAATTGTCCCACAGCATAATAAGGGTACTTTGATAACATTCCTAAAATTGCAACAGCGCTGGCACTTTTAGCTTTTGCTCAGCTAATCCGTTTACCCTTTTTGACTTGATCACAATTTAATACCATCTTGAATGCTCGACACGTATGGTGGTGAATTCGAAAGAGGCACGAAAATAACACCGAATCATATATGAAGCAAATCGATATGGCTTACGAAAATTTTGTGATTATCATGGAAATAAATAATTTGCTTTTATAATGTTCGTAAAAATAAAAAAGTAAATATTTTATGTTTCTTTTTTGGATCAGCACTTTTATCAACACTCTCTTCAGTCGCACAGTCCGCTATAGGGTTTGATATTTTACTCAAATTCAGAAGTTTACCATAGTGTGAAATAAATTATTTTTAATAAACATTTTTAGCGGTTCTGTCGCTTTACATTATAGAAGTGAGAAAAACTAAACGAAGGTTTGTGACCCCGTTTACTCGCGTAGCAACATTTGTAAGCTTTCCTTGTCTAGACATTCTTGAAATTATTTCTAAAGGAGTTTAAGTTGCTTTTGCTTACATCCTAGATATAAAGATAGAGGATACATAAAGATTGATATTTTTAAATAAATCATGTATTTCAATGGTTTTTTTATGTTTCCCTGTATTGATTCGACAACAGTTATAACAATGAACTTATTATCATGATAAGAAGGTAATGTAAAATTTAAATAATAATAACAAAATTAAGATTGAAATACAATTCACACTATGTCCTATTCCTATAGCATTATTTTAACTAGTACCTTAACACACACAGAAAAAAAATCTGGGGATGTATTTGACCACTGCGACATCTGTCTAGGTTGTAACATAATAAAGATCTATCTTTGTAGGTCTCAGTATCGTTAATACTTTGTGAGGACCTCTTACTGTAGGTTAACATTATCCTGTGTTGTAAGGACGTTTTATATGCATAAATGGACGTGGACAAACACACAATCCGAAACAACTATCTGTGGGTCACACAAATAGCTTTCGAATGGCAATCGAGACCACGACACCCATGCCCCGAAGCAAATACCTTGGCAACTGCCTGACGGGGTCATCATGTCATCTGGGGATGTAGCCATTTACTTGCCAGCAACGTGTGATTGGAATTTAATGGGTTACCATGTGACTATTTGAACTTCATTCTATACGCAATGATATGTAATTAATGGCGAATGTGTAGATGATCTATTTATTAATATTTTTACAAATTAAGTTATCGGCCAACCGAAAGCTACGGCTTTTCTGTGCTGAAGAGGTTTTATTTAAATAGATACCGTATAGACAAGCATCCAGATCCCGAAATATTGACTGTAGGCCATACAAATAGAAAATGGAACCCGTCGCCGAGAGGGCCAAACAAAATATTTTGGAAAACCTGACCGCGCATTCTCTTAATTACATGCCGATAACAAAAAATACTACTTTTTATTTGATTATGTTAGCCAGGCGTTAAACGATTGAGACATTTTCATAGCTGCGGCATTTGAAAGGCGTTTTAAATTGTTACCGCATTATAAACAACAAAGGAAATTGAAAGCTACTTTTATGTTTTATATCTCCATAAAAATTGAGTTTTCTAGAACGTGTAGTATGGAACGTTAGTGTTACGAAATAGCAGAAATGATTATTTTATGTTTATGAGCCTCTTATTTTCGCAGGCCAAGGTTTAGTTAGAGGCAATCGTTTAGTTACATAGACTATTAGATTAATTTAACGTGAACCTTAAATCATGCCGTGATAGCTTAGCGTTCGGGTGCTGGCCTTTAATTCAATATACTCAAGCAACTTAAGTTCTATTCAGAAAACATTGTGAGGAAACCTGCATATCTTCGAAATAATAAAAAAAACTTATATAAGTACACTTTGTATAGAGGAGGCATTTGCCCAGCAGTGGGACACGTATAGGCTGTTGCTTTACTTTTTTTTACTTTTAGTAATTTATGATTTGTTCACATAATAGCTAAATCATTTGAGGTTTATCTGCGGAACAATTCCTAGTGAGCTGAGTTTTTGTTAACACCTTTATTAAGCTGAATTGTATTACGTAACGAAGGTATGAAAAGTTGACAATGATATGGTGCCGACTAAAAAAGTTATAAAGGTCAAACAAAAGGTCACGAAAATCAGTTTTTCGCCAATATCTCGCTAACTATTGCTCGGAAGTCAATAGAGGTCATTTAAAAAATTTTTTGTCGTGAAATTGTCTACAAAAATGCCTCGTGCATTTTTCTACAAAATTAACCCTTTTCGGTGTAGAGCGCTGAGTCGCGAAACGCGACTACATGGGCATTTTTGGGCCAATTGCATCCATACCACAAACGATGGAAAGCAAAGTAGGCAAAACATACAACTGGCAGACTGTTTCATGATCGAGATGAATATAACCATCTATTCTAATAACATAACTTAGGCCGGTACTCAGAGACGTCGCCAAAACTTAACTAGCATTCAATTTGTTGCGGTTCTTTATTTTTTCTACGTTCATACTTCATTTCAGCTCACTGATAAATGAAGTATTTTCAAAGCAAATTATAATTCTGTTGTTTTTTATAATTTATGGTTAATTGAACTTACCTGAAGTGAACTTCAACCATAATTATACTAGTTGCTGCATCCTAGGAGATTTAATAAACCATGTAGTCCGTTCTCTGTTGTACTGCATCATCACACGAATTTTAGAATATTTTATAAAAATAAATAAAAAAGAAATGAAAAAACAGTATATCCGTTGACTAACATAGACAATGTTGGCTCCCATGACTGACCAATAGCTCATTCGTTTTAGAGCACACATACATACAGCAATACCTACTTCAGTCTGCAATTATTTGGGGAGTTTTGTTCAGGGAAGGGTGGGTTCTTAAATCTCTACGGATGCAGCAACTAGTATAATTATGGTTGAAGTTCACTTCAGGTAAGTTCGATTAACCATAAATTATACTTCGTTGCTGCATCCTAGGAGATTTAATAAACCATGTAGATGTTTAGCGCTCAATTGCAGAATGATACAAACAACGTAATGGTAAAAATCAAGTATATTCCAAATTTTCTGTACATATACCAGAAAATCACCTTATTCATAATGTATATCCATACGTCTATATTATGATCTACATGTCTATATCGAATACCGCGTCAGCGAAACTTTTGTCTTTGAATGTCTGGTAACGGTAAGTTATAGGAATTTAGCAAAACAGAGGGAGTAGCTGGTCCATCCGGCTGCGCATTTTATCACATCTAAGAACACATCAGCGCGATTCGCTGCCGATGTGGACGCTTGTCACGTGCTATGTGCTAAATATATATCAATCCCACTATCCTTAAGGACTTGTTTAACCCAACGGCTTTTCGTTTGGGAACTCGTTTATTCGGATAGGCTTTTTAACAGTTATAAAAAGTTTTCCTATCCATTATTCTTTCAGCGCAAGGCCCTTATTTATGTAAGCCGATGGAGCTGAGCAAATGACTGGCTGTTCTTGATAAACGGAACTAGCATATATGGATTCGCTCTATTCAGTGCTGACGTTTTAATCAGTTCGTCTACAAGTAAACGAATCCCTGTTTCAGTAAAAGAAATATTACTATTTTTAATTTGTGTCAACGTCTGCATACGTTATTCAGTCGACAACGCCAGCGGAGTTGCAAGCTTTCTTGACAATATATCCATATTGAATTCTTTATTCAGGCTTTGTTTAGAAAGGTATGTTAGAACCATGCTACGGTCCCAAGAGTTTTGTTATAAGTTCGGCCTGATCTTAAAATACCCTTTAAGAATCTGCTAACGGTTGTTAATAAATATTTCTTTACCAAATATTAGAGAAAGCGCGGACCTAAATAAATTTAATATACAGTAATTCGCGCATCTTTAAACTTTTTTGTTAGCAAATGTAACTTCACTTCCTAAATTGGAACCTTTGATAATTAATTCAAATTATTTCATTTGCAGAAGGCAAACCACAATTTGTATACCGTATTATACAGGGTGGCTTTTCTAAAGATGCCCAAATTCACACAGGAGGCTCAGACTCGGTAGTATAATCGTTTATTAAAATAAAAACAAACTTATTGCTATTCCATTCCCTAAAAAACAGAACTTGTTGCCAATGCGGTAGTCATTCATAAATGCATCGTATACTTTTGAAATGAACTTGTGTGAGTGTTAGCTATGAATGATCACTTTTTGAGATAAGTTCAAATGAATGTATTTAATTAATTACGAGTGATTTGAAATATTTCATAATCATTTTTTATATAACATTATTTATGTCTAGAATTTAATAAAAATGGATAGACTTGGAAAAAACCAGCTGTATATACTGTTGAATATTATTATTGGAACTATCCAATAACAATCGAACTATTCAATCACTAGATTGGATCATAATATCAACGGTATTATTATCAACTTATTTTCGTATGACCGCTTCCTGGATAAAGTTACGCACACCAGGGTAAGACTGGGCCATGAATGATGCGCTGTTCTCTAGTGTTGCTTGCGGCGATCCTACGACCGGACTGGCGATGGCGGCTGGCGTCGGGGCCCATTAGGCGCAGCCGGTGTCTGGTGTATGATAGAGGGACTGCGCACGGGGTGCGCGCGGCCCTGTCCGCTTGGTTGACGAGGGGGGCACTCGGTACTTTCCCAGAGCACTCCTAGTAGGTCTTGAGACGATTGAGGGTGTACCGCTTTTCTAATCTGAAGGCTTGGATCTTCCAAATGATTTGGTAACATTAATGTTTTCACCTAAAGTAAAACAAACAAAATTTTCAGGGTTCACAACTTGAATTATGTTAATAAAACTTTTATCCAACATCGGAATAATTATTCGTTTACGGTTCATTGTTTCTTCATAGTGGAGATCGGGTAGGATCTTATTTATCTCGGATGTTTGTTTGAAAATATCCTTACTAATCCTTACTAATATTGTAAACGCGAAAGTTTGTATGTATGGATGGATGTTTGTTACTGTTTCACGCAAAAACTACTGAATACATTTTAATATAACTTTATAATAACATAGCTTATACATCAGAATAACACTTAGGCTATAATTATAAATATATTGCGTCAATTCCAAAATATAGGTAGTGATAAGTGTCAACTAAGTAAGATAAAATTCAGCCATCTACGAGGTATTCTGGTGGATAATGAAAAACTCATTATTATTTCCTTGGCCGCGCGGGCGAGGCCGCGGTTATCAGCTAGTCTATATAATGAGATCCCTGTCTACTACCTCTGATATTAAGTAAGGTAATGCAGCGATACCCGTACCTAGTTGGTTTTACATCTTCTCTAAACGCCTATCCCGATTTTTAGCTGGCTCACCGAGTATTGATGCAACCTCAGCATTCAGCTTAGGTGCTTTAGCAAGCTGAAAATTTTCTAGGATTAAGGTTTTGGTCTGCAGTGTCTCCTTCTGCTCTTTCATTACGCCTTCGATCAATATTTTTCCCCAACGTTCAGAGACTTTTAGGGATGTTTTTGATCAAAATTCTCCTCCGATTTTTGACCTCTTCAAGTACTGCCAAGATGTCCAAAGTTAAAGCATTTTTCTCACCCTCGCCAACCACTTCAAATGTCTATTCCGGCCCGGACGTCACGCAAGGGGGGTAGGTGAAAGCACTTGGACAACTGATTCTATCGGGTGGTGTTCAGGAACGTCCTCGTCGCTGGTGACCACGTTACTGCATCCCTCGTCGTACGCCTCAAGTTTTGCATCCTCGTAGGGATTGTAAACAGAGTCTGCTGTAACTAAATTTAGTCAGCTTTCTATTTACCTCTTGGGTGACATCACGTGCCAGCGCTTAAGAATGTAAGGTAGTATTTCCGAATGACATCGCGTGCCAATACATAGGAAATTAAAATCAATCAATATCAGCCCATTGCCGTCCACTGCTGAACGTAAATAAGGCAATCGCGTAGGAAATCGTTAATTAGCTATATATTATTTATTAAGTTAATTTTTGTTTTCTGAGTGACATAGCACTCACAATTTATTCACATTTTCGTTTACATCTTGGGTGACATCACGTGCCAGCACTTAAAAATGTAAGGTAGTATTTCCGAATGACATCTCGTGCCACTACTTAGGAAATCAATATTTTGGAATATATTACTTATTATGTAAATTTTTGCTTTCTGAGTTACATCGCATGTCATCAAATTTAGAAAGTAAAATCAAACAAGCAATCGATGATGTTTAATAATAATGATAACATAAGTCCATACTACGCGAAGTTTCAAAATTGTTTCGTTTAAGATTATGTGACATAATTATGTGTCCGAATCTCATAAAACCAAATGTAGTCACATATTCGTTTACATCTTGGGTGACATCACGTGCCAGCACTTAAAAATGTAAGGTAGTATTTCCGAATGACATCTCGTGCCACTACTTAGGAAATCGATATTTAGCAATATATTACTTCTTATGTAAATTTCTGCTTTCTGAGTTACATCGCATGTCATCAAATTTAGAAAGTAAAATCAAACAAGCAATCGATGATGTTTAATAATAATGATGAAGTATGTCCATACTACGCGAAGTTACAAAATTGTTCTGCTTAACATTATGTGTCCGAATCTCATGAAAACAAATTTAGTCAGATTCACCTTTACATTTTTGGGTGACATCACGTGCCAGCACTTAAAAATGTAAGGCAGTATTTCCGAATGACATCTCGTGACACTACTTAGGAAATCGATATTTAGCAATATATTATTTATTGAGATAAGTGTCATCACTTTAAGAAAGTAAAATCAAACATACAATCGATGATGTTTAATAATATAGATAACGCATGTCCACACTGTGCGGAATTTAAAAAAATTTCTGCTTAACATTATATGACACATAAACAGATGATATGGAACGTATGATACGGTAAGGGATAGCAGTCTAAAGAATCGCAATCTAACTACACCAATTAGCGTAATTTGGGTGCCTCGACTTCGGTGCGCTACCGTCATATATATCTACCTCGTATTTATATATAATTTTAAACAATGATATCTCCGGTTGACATCGCGTGTCACCACATAAGCAATAAATATATATTGAATGCAATCGCCTTTGATTAAAAATTATTACGTTAAACGTTAAAACAATACAATCTCGGTGGTGCGGTGTACTTACCCTCATTTACAAATTTATCCTGCGGTCGTTGTAGATACAATAATTGCTTACTTAACGCCATACTCTAAACGCCTTATTTTGTTTTTAATCTCGTCGTCACACTTCACATTTATTCTTTTGCCCATTTTTCACTTAAAACCAAACTATTTCACTATATGGAAAAAATATAAATGGCGAGCGTGCGGATGATGCAACACACGGAAAACGAAATGAGCTATCGGTCAGTCATGGGAGCCAACATTGTCTATGTTAGTCAACGGATATACTGTTTTTTCATTTCTTTTTTATTTATTTTTATAAAATATTCTAAAATTCGTGTGATGATGCAGTACAACAGAGAACGGACTACATGGTTTATTAAATCTCCTAGGATGCAGCAACGAAGTATAATTCAGTTAACGTGAACGTAAAGTTATTAAAATTATGGCCAAAATAATTTATACTACACTATTTAACATAGGTCATGCACGCTAATTATGTAAAAATTAAAATGTGAATAATATAATTTTCTCTTTTATATTGACATAATATTTTTGGTGTTTTATTTGAATTCCACGACACTTATGCCGCAAAGTTTTGCCAAAGAGGCAAATAAAATGAGATTTTCATCCTCACTTAGAATGAATTGAGTTCTTGTAAGTACCACGACCGCACAGAAGACCGGCGTGAAATAGAAGTGTTACACTATTACGTTTCGTCTGGTGAGTGAGGTAGACGGGGCCCACTTCATTAAAAGGTGGCAACACATCTGTAACTCTAAGGATGTTGCAAATGTCCACGGGCGGCAGTTATCACCTCATGCATAGTGATCAGGTGCTCTCACACATAAAAAAGAACTGACAACACACATTGACAAAGATTCAATATCGTATACAGCGTGTCGTTACCATCGCGACAATAAATGAACACACATATAGGGGATAACTTTTTAAAGTTGTATTAAACATTTAAATTCTTTAAACATCAATATTTACAGTTATTAAATTTTCCAAAACAAAGAAGTTTCGAACACCCTTACCTATAAAACTGTAACGTAAAGTTCATTTGTAAAGGTCACAAAGCATATGAATGGGTTGAATGAATTTAAAAGAGACAAAACATACTGTTAGAAGGAGAGGCTTGTAATACGACGCTGTGCGCGAGTTGTATAGGATGTTACAAATTTTGTTTCTTTTTTACTTAATTAGTTTGTTTTAAAAATATTTTTTTTAATTATGGATTTTGTTTAACGTTAATATTTTTTTATGATTATTGGCAAGTAGCGATAGACGTGTGTTCATTTATAGTCGCAATGGTAATGACACGCTGTAGATGCATTATTAGAAACGCGTACAGTATAAACGAAAAAGGTGTAGGAAACGAACTGTGATTACGCTACGTGCGAGTGCATGGAGGCCCCGCGGGTCTGCCGCCCACTTATTGGCTGGAGATAATGAAAGTCCAAGGTTCACAAGTGACGCAATGTAACCACGATCCGGTCGTAGACAGGACATTGTTCTGTACTAATATGTCTGCGGTAAAGTATACCTTGCACAGAAATTAAGAAAGTTATAAATTTCTCCATTGGCGTTTATATTAAAGATGAAAAGCAATTCTTCTACTTCTTTAGTCTGCCCTCATCCCAACAGCATCGTTTCCACTACTTTGCAGAATTCAGTACGTCCGGTGAATATTGAAAATATGTACTCCGAATTTATAGTTAAAAAAATATATAAATACTTCCATCATAATTCATTCAAAACATCGTGTTAAGTCTGTCACTCGAAGCGTCCCGAAAATGACAACCGAGTATATTTAAAACTTTTTAAATTGGTGAAATGACGGCACCATAAACTAATAAGTTCTAAATCAGTGTCGTCTCAATTAAATATTAATAAACCAATTTTTAATTGCAATTTTAACTTTTGAGCCACGTGCGTGCTGATGAAGGAATACATTTTGATTAAACATAAATATATATTTAAGAGAAAATATTTCGAAGAACTTTACGCTAGTCTGCGGTGAGATCGCGTGGGATTCTATGCCCTGTACGCGGCAGTGTGATATTAAATTTTTGGGTTGTTTTTTCTTAAAAAAATACAAAAGCACTTGAAAACAAAAACGCTTTATACTTCTTATTCTGAATATTCAGGTTATACAAAAATTAATGGGGATTATGTAGGGAAAGATTGGAGACAGTCCACACAGTGAAGACACACATGGTCACACCGGCGTAACGTAACGTAAACAAGCCGGATATGGACTTGTTCCGGTTAGCCTGTCACCGACGACGGCCTAGAGACGAGTCTTATGAAAAACACACATAGGTTTCATATTAGTCGGGTGACCTTCAAAACATTTGCAAGGTTTTGTCCACTTATGTGTTACTAGGACTTGACTACCATCCCGAAATGAGAGCAGTAGAGGGCGGAAGAGAGAAATAGAGGGAGAGCAGAATCGTAAATGCTAGTCCTACAGTTTAACATTCACGAGTAATTATATTTGAAAGTCGGCCTGGATAAAATTCTTTACCAAGAAAGGAAATTCCGCGTAAACCATAACGAGTGAGACGAAAGTGATTACTTGGTAGTAAAGTAAGTAATAGAACTCGCCGTTCCGGTTAAAAGATGATTTAAAGGTGACATTCATAAACAACTAGGTAAATGGTGTCCCATAAGTAAAGAGACAAAACTGAGTGTTTTGTCGCATGTCGGCCAAGATAAAGGTTTTCAAAAAAGAAAACTGTTGCAATGGTAGCCACCGGTAACAAATCTGTCAAATTCGCGTGGTTTTGCAGATATTGTTTTTCTAACATGTAGCGACCCGAACGCGAATCTTTTGCAAAAAGAGTAATTCAGTACTATCTGAATATTGGGAAATCCGAGGCAGTTTCTCAATAAAGGGCTATAAGAACAAGTATTTACAGAATAATTAAATGGTATGAAGAAACTGGTTTTACGAAGATTCCGGGAGGCAACGTACCATAGGAACTGATCGAAACATAGATAAGTAAAGTAAATAAAAAAAGGTTTTTAAAGAAGCACCTTCAACATCTGTGAGGACTGCGGCGGACAAATTGAAAATGTCTAAGTCAAGCATACCGTATCCAGAATTAAAGTTCCCAGATATTGAACTTTAATTCTGGATACGGTATGCTTGAAGGCTTTTGTGAAATTGTCCACTCCGAAGTACGTGAAAGACCAAAAAGTGCGTGCTAAGCGAGGTTGCCGTCGAGTTTACCAAAAAACTTTGAAAAAAAAATTGTCATAATTGATAACGAAACTTATGTACCGGATAATCCCTCTGATATTCCT